AAACTGGCCCATATAACTGGGGTTATGTAATAAAATGGAAATTATCAAACCTGAAGGTGACCAGTCAGAACAAAAACACCATAAAGAACAGCTGGGGACCTCGGGGCTGGGGGGAACCAGCACAGGGAGGACATGGAGCTGCTGGAGAGAGTCCAGAGGAGGCTCCAGGATGAGCAGAGGATGGAGCAGCTCTGCTGGGAGGAAAGGGGAGAGAGTTGGGATTGTTCAGCCTGGAGAGGAGAAGCTTTGGGGTGACCTCACTGTGGCCTTGCAGGACCTGAAGGAGCTACAGGAAAGATGGAGAGAGACCATTGACAAGGGATGGAGGGACAGGACAAGGGATTTAGATGGGAATACTGGGAAGGAATTGTTGGCTGGGAGGGTGGGCAGGCCCTGGCACAGGGTGCCCAGAGGAGCTGTGGCTGCCCCTGGATCCCTGGGAGTGTCCCAGGCCAGGTTGGACGGGGCTTGGAGCAGCCTGGGCTGGTGGAAGGTGTCCCTGCCCAGGGCAGGGGTGGCACTGGATGGGCTTTGAGGTCCCCTTCCAACCCAAGCCATTCCATGATTCTCTGATTCTATGGAAGTCGTGCTCTTCTGGAGGCTAAAACAAAGACAGGACAAATGAGGAAACATCTGGTTGGAAGATCCATGGGATCAGACTGGAGATCCCCAATTTATGCACAAGCTGTGCCAGGTCAGTCCTGGGAAAGTTCTGGTGGTGCTGAGGGGACCAGTCAGTGACCCCAGCTGCCAATCCAGGGGTAAAACAAGGACACTCATGGCACTGTGTGACCAAACCACACGTGTGGAGCATGGTTTGGATTTCTCAGGGGGTGCCCAAACCCAGGGATGGTTCCAAACCACCAGCAGTGTCCGTGTCTTCTGTGGCCAAGCCTCGGCCAAGAATGGCTTGGCTTGAAAAATGTGGAGTCATCTCATTGCATTAGTCCTGCCCTGAGAATGAGGAGAGCAAGAAAAGGGGGAAAAAAAGAGAGTTCAAGAAAAGAGGGTGAAAGGAAAGGGAAAGAGCAGTTAAATCCTTTGATTATTTCACTTAATATTTTATTCTGTGTGTTGGATCCTGTATATTAACTCACATATCATTTGAATTAACATTTATTTCTTTAATTAAACAAAATTGTGTTTATTGTGCCTCTTTCTTGGGCTTGCTGGCAAATGTGGCCTGAAAGTTCTGAAGCCCAGAAGTGACAGGAAATAATTGCACTGCCTTTCTGCAACTGTGTGGCTTTCTAACTGCAGCTTTTCCTTTCTCAAATCAGAGCAAAAAAAAAGAGCAAGTGATGACTCCAGCTGGATGAACCCTGCAATCATTACCCTTGTTACAATGATGTATTTCAATAACAGCCACAATTCCTGATGCCCACGGAGGGCTTTCTAATGACCATGGATTATGCTGAGAAAATGCTAATCCTGGTTTTATTCTTAATGGAGTGTGAAAGGTAGGGACTAATTGTCATTGGAAATGTGATTTCCATCACTCCAAACACATGTGTGCTCCATGTCAGCGATTCAAGGAGCCCACATCAGAGCACATTAATTAATATCATGTTATTACTTACAGGGTTTGAGTGACAAGAAATGAGAGGGGGTTTTCTTGGTTCGGGCCAACTGCAGCAGAGACCTCTCCAGAAAAACTCCTGCTCTGGTTTCCAAGAGCCCTTTTCATCACAGGGACCACGAGAAAGAGCCTTCCTGGCCCCGGGAACATTTGCTATCTGCACCATTAAACTAATCAATTGCAGAGCAGTAGTCAAAAGTCAAATCTTAATGAACTGGAAAAATGATACCTCAATTTGCTGTCTCAAATCCCCAAATTAGCATAATAAACACGACATACTCTTAATCTGTGAAAAAAAAACAACAGGGTTTTTTCTTTGTTATTGTGTATTAAAGACGTTATTTGCAGATAATTTGTAAACCATCAGCTAGTTTTAAATAATTTAATAAAAATAATGCAAATATGTTGTGCAAAACCCACAACACCATGCTATTTTTGCTGAAAATAGAATTTCTTCTCTCTCTTTTTTTTTTGTTGTTGTTATAAAATTTCCATTCCATTTCACACATACCCAGTGAACATTTCCCAACAGGTAGGGACCAACTGGGAGAGGAGGAATGTTCTCAAGAAATCCAGCTGACTGATGGAGGTCAGAAGTGACTTTTACTCCACTTTGCCTCAGTTTTTAATGCATTGGAGAGGGATTTGATTGTGATCAATGATAACATGACACCAATTGATGTTATCCTCCATGTCCAGCAGTAGCCAAGATCCAGGTCTCCTCCTGTGTGGCCCCACTGGCACTCAAGTCTCAACCTCCAAAGGGCTGCAAAAAAGGGCAAAAAGATAGCTAAACCCTCCAAAAAATAAATATCTCAGTCACAGGAAGGAGTTACCTCGTGGAAGTGAGGTGGGGAAGGATCCTGAGCCAGTTTTTTTGGGACAGATCCATAAAGGATCATCCTGCTGTCCACGGCCATGTGGAGCTGTGAATATTGCCACGAGTTCTCAACAATCAACCTAATCTGTATTGCACCAGTGCCCTACCTCATTTTAGCACTGCAAAATAGCCAAAGCTTTGGAGAATAGATCAGCCATCTGTGCCTGCAGGTGTTTACAATACAGAATAAATTAAGAAGTGACAAGGCATTGAGAAGGTTACAGTTGAATAATTACCATGGAAAACTCAAAATCTTATGCACCATTCCGACTGCTGAAGATGGAGTAGCTTCCTCTGTCCTTTCAAAATCGGCTCCCACTCCTGTTCAGTTTGCCCTTCTGTCTGAAGGACATCATCTCCCCTCTTCAAACACAGAACACTTGCAGAAATTAAGCTCTGTCATTACTTGTGCTAACAAGGGTTTTATTTTCTCCCTTTTTGATTTAATTGAGGCAAGAAATTCAGTTATGAATGAGTGTTGAGCACAAAGTCCTGTGCTTGCCTATTTCCACCCACCTCAGCATGGAAGCTGAAGGTGAAATAACAGGAGGACCTGGGATCTCATTAAAGCTTCACTTTAAAAATTAGAAATCAATTTTAAAACATCCCCAGATCCCTGAAACATCACTATTTTAACACTGGCATATGAGACATTGTTCAATTGATGGAGTGCTTCTGATTTTGAAAACAGGTTGGTTTTTTTTTTATATTTTGCTGAGCAGGGAAGGGAAAGGGAAGGGGAAACCATGGAGGCAAACCATGCTCAAGGCTGAAGAAATTACTAATTAAACACTGTGGTCTCTTCCTCATGTGACACAAATGTTTTCTGATATCCACAGATATCAGAGAAGCCACAGGTTTCCCAACTCCTTATTCCTTTATCCCAGACTCATTATTGGTCAGACACAAATGAAAGGCAGATTTCTACACCACTTAAAATCAAAGCAATTGGTAGGATCCTGATTAGGATAAGGATTGTTGTTCAGTCAGAAGGTTCAGCTGGGTTGGTAACACAACATGCACAGTCTGGGTTCCCTTCTTCTTCAGCTGGAAAACCAGGAAATTAAAATAGAATTTAACATATAGCAGTGCGAAAAATAATAACAGCAAACCTGGACATGTGTTATCTCTGTAAAGCAGATGTCATTAATATGTTATATATTGGCTGGGGCACAGAGGAACTAATAAATTATTTACAGCTGTAATTAATTCATTTTATGGAATGAACTGTGCTGAGACGCAAACCTAGCAACCCCCCCTGAATATTCCTAATAAAGCAACTTAATCTTGACCTTGAGTAGGACTGATGGGGTGTGGGCATATAAAGGGTTACTTTTTGGTGATTTAGCATGTTGTTACCTAAAAAGGGAGTAGTTGTGTGAGGAGAGGGAAACCTCAATTTGAAACTATTTTTATAGTTGTACAACACAGTCAGAGTATCATAAAATCCCAGAATGGTTTGGGCTGGAAGGGACCTTAAAGCCCATCCAGTGCCACCCCTGCCATGGGCAGGGACACCTCCCACCAGCCCAGGCTGCTCCAACCAACCTGGCCTGGGACACTTCCAGGGATGGGGCAGCTTCTCTGGTCATCAAACATCAGCTGCCATCATCCAACATGAAATTCTGACAATTAACCTGTTATGGGAAAATGTTACTCGCAGCAGTGAAGATTTCCAGAGGCATTTGGGTGGTTTTTTTAAGCTGCTATTTTAGCAGCATGAAAAAAAGCCCACCCTAGCAAGGTGAGGAAATGGAAATGATCCCTAATTTTTGGGAAGAACAAAGCAGAGGTTTCCCTGTTTGCTGCTGTGTCTCTGTGGGTTGGGGTGAGTTCCCCTGCACGGGCAGCTTTTCATCTCCTCTCTCACACGCTGGAATTTCCCCCTCCCTCTTCACCATCACTTTGGCTTCTCTGGCTCATCTCACATCAATGGCAGCTCGAAATGATGTGCAGGTACATCCTCAAATCCCTGACAGGGTGTGAAGGTGTGCTGAGGGACAGGGGATGTGGGCAAAGCTGTTGTCACACCACCCAGCCTGAACTGGGCCATCACACCCAGCAAATAAACGAGAAGCAGCATTTTTGTCCTTCCTGCCACGTGGGGATTTTACATTTCAGCTGAAGACCTGGAGCCTAATCAGGCTTTGTGTCTGGAAAAGAACTGCAGTCTGCCTGTTTTCACTGGGTTTGACCAATGAAAATATTAAATTGCAGAGTCCCTTTATTCATGTCACATTCCACCACTCTCATTCAGGGAATGCTGTCCAGCAGGAATAAAGATATTGGAATTTTGCACTTAATCCCTGAGCTCCTGAATCAAAAACCTGCTGGTTTTGATCCCAGGGTGAACAGGGCACCAGAAAGGAATGCTGAGCAGCCTGATGTGTGTCCTCTGCTGTGCCATCACCCAGGGAGGGTCCCATCAGCCTCATCACTCTGCTCCCTGAATACTAAAGAGAAATCAAATATTATTTACCACTCTAACTACTCGAAATGCAAGAGGAAGTGGTTTGCTATGCACATAATTACTGTCTTGTGGCTCCAAGGCACTGTTTTTTTTCCCAGATAGGAGAGGAATAGAAGTGTACATTCTTGCAAGAGATCAAAACCAGAGAGGACAGAACTAAGGCAGGAAAAGAAATGCACACAAATAATTGGAGTGAGCAGAAATGGGAGATCTCAGACAAACAGGTAGAGGAAGCACTTTGTGAAAAATAAATGAAATGGAGACACGAGGGAAACAAGCCCAAATAAAAATAGATGGCATCAATCTCACAGGCTCAGACTTACCTAAGCTGATATATATATATATATATATTGACATTAATGGGACTGCTCTGACTTCTGGCTGCTTTTCCAGCTGCAGGACTGGGACCTGTGCTCTCCAAACCCTGACCTTGTAGGTCCACAGGACGATGTCCCCAGAGGCACCAGATGATTGGGTTACTGGGCTGAGTGTCTCTCTGCAGTCTGGACATCTTTGGGCTGCTTTGAGGTTGTTTTGAGCACAGGAATTCCAGAAAAGCACACCTTGAAAACGAAGGCAGACCTCCAAACTTTACAACCTTCTGGGCAAGACAATGTGCAGTCAGCACTGACAGAGCTCTGCAAGGACATGCAGAGCAACAGTCAGATGTTTCCTTTATGAAAAGAAAAAAAATCCTTGATATTGTGGCCCTATTTATAAACCTTGATAAGGCAGAAAGATTAAAAACAAAACAAAACAAAACAAAACTTCTTAAAACAGCTTTGTAAAGGAAGCTCAGGTTTCTGTTTCCTTCTGCTGCTGGGAAAGATGAAAGTTTGTGAATGGTGTCAGCCTGTGTGTGGTTGGTCTTGGAGATTTTCTTCGGGCAAAAAGTGAAAGCCAAAAGGGATTGAAGTGATCAGTAAAAGGGGAAGGGCTCATTCACTCTTCACACAAAACACTGGTGTGCATCAACTTGGGGGTACAAATGGAGTTTCCAAGGCTGTAATGAGAAAAAAACATTTTTGTTTCATTTTAAAGGGCTTCTCACCAGGAATCTCTTTTTTTTTATGTCTTTCTTTTTCTTCTTTTTTCCCCTTTTTTTTATTTTTTTGTTTTAGCAAAGTAAGAAAATGACAAAACCAAACAGGCACTTTGGCTTGTCATTCTAACTCTAGTCTCTTCTCCTTTCTTTTCAGAAGCAAGAAAACCTGGAAATCAGGCAAGTCTTCTCAGCCCTGAGAACTGCTGAGACTGTTTAAACTCTACACAGCATCGAGTTTGTTCAGCTCTTTGGGTTTTTTTTTTCTCATCAAGGATTAATTTTTGCTTCAATTTTTTTTTCAAAACTAAGTTTAATTGAAATCAATCCTCCGAGCAATTTGGTTTTGCTGCAACTGTTTCCTGATCAAAAAAAAAGAAATCTGAATAAGTGACATCTGATTAAAAAAAAAATTGCACTCAGTGATAATTAGGGTGTTCCCAGGAAAGCATCACAGTCTTTGGGTAGTGAAAAGACCAGGAACAAAGTCAAGGTGCTTTGAGCTGGTGTGAAAGAAACATTTTTAGACAGACATCACACAGATATGAAACAGGGAAAAACAGGATATCCCTGGCATGAAAGGCAGGTGCTGGAGAGAAGTCTGGATGAAAGGAAATAGAGAATATGCATCAGAATGTTAAAAAAGAAAAAAAAAAAGTGCCATTACTTCATATCAGAATGGATGGAATTGAGATTCCACTTCCCAGCATGGGGTGTTATTTACTCCTAGGACTGCCTAGTTGATAAGAAAGAGGCAGAATTAACCTCCAGTGCTTTGAAACTCGTGAAATAAAACCCCCTCTCCACTCCCAGCAAGTGCTGCTGAGCTAAAGCATTACAGGAACCTTCAGAGAAAAAGATGCTTTCAAACATCACAAGAGGTGGATTTGTTTTCCTCCAGTGTTGACCATGTTTTACCCACATCTTCCAGCTGCTGGGTGGAGCCCTTCAGTCTCCACAATGTTTTAATGGAAAACAAAGCAGTTGTGAGTGAGTTCAGTGTGACTGCTTTGGATTTTTCCCGTGGAGTGACCTGTCAATGACTATCAGAAATATTACAGTTGCTTTGGGCCCCCCATGTCTTTGTGTGTGATGTACTGGCTGGTTTTTACTTACTGCTGTCTTTAAGGATCAGTTTTTAAACTCATCCAGTCTTGGCCTTGCTCACAATTTTCTTTCATCTGAATAGATCTGTAAGAAAGAAAGAAAGAAAGAAAGAAAAAAAAATGAAAAGTGTATTTTAATTTAAAAACTAGAGGCTTTCTCTCATGTAAAAATACTTCAGAAAGCTTTGCTGAGAGCTGAAAATCAATAGTGTTTCTCTTTTTTCTAGAAATGCCTGTTATTTCAGAGCAAACCACTGGTGCTGGAGAGCAGAGCTGTGGGGCCAGTGGCCCATCCATCACGTGGATTCACGAGGGCTTTGTCTTTGGCTCCCATTTACACAGCATTAAATTCTGCTGTGTTGACTTTGAGCTTGACACCCTCCTAAATCTTCGGTCCCTGAGCAGAACCCTCTCAAAATCCTGGCCTTGCATTGGCTGCCTCAGCCCACGAGTGTCACCTTGATTTGGAATTCTCTCGTCCCAGGTGTGCTTAAAACATTTCTCAGAGATTTTTTTGATGAGGTTGGGCCACGATCCAAGGCTGTGGCAAAGCCAAAGGCCCTGCAAGGGAGTTTTTTTGGTTTTTTTTTTTTTTCCTCTTTGCTTTCATAAGCATCCCTTTCCATGCCTGCTCAGTCCCAAGGTGGGGCTGCTGTTATGCAAAAAGCAATTTAATGTGATGTGAGTTATGACTGAGAGGATCCGGGCAGGTGTTCGTGGGGTTTAATTAATGTGCTCACTTCACACCTTTAATTAATTTGTGACAGCTTTCTCCAGTGTCACCGACACAAAGCCAGATAACTTTGCTGTCCAAGGCTCTGCAGAAAGGAGAAGGGGCTTGGTACCTTCTGACATGGGTGGGTCTGTAGGAACCTGAACACCTGGAGCAGGATGGGGCTGAGAATTAGAAAGACTGGTCCCAAAAAAAGTGACTCTGAAATGTGGCCTAAAGAGTGGGACTGGATCCTGTGGGATCAATGAACCATCTCTGTTAAATCCTGGAATCACAGAATGCCAGGATGGTTTGGGTGGGAAGGGACATCCCATCCCAACCCCTGCTAGCCCAGGCTGCTCCAAGCCCCGTCCAGCCTGGCCTGGGACACTCCCAGGGATCCAGAGGCAGCCACAGCTCCTCTGGGCACCCTGTGCCAGGGCCTGCCCACCCTCCCAGGGCAGGATTCCTTCCCAATATCCCTCCTGACCCTGCCCTCTGGCAGGCAGAACCCACTCCCCCTGGCCCTGCTCCACCTTTCCTGAGGATCTCTGCAAGTTCATCCATTGGAGGGAATGTGAGACCGAATCCATCCTTTTCTGTCAACACGATCATTTTGCAGATTCTGCCTCCAACCACTTTTTTTAATCTCTTCAGTTCTCCCAGCAAACTCAGTAAACTTCCAGAGCTGCGTGTCAGCATTTGTCTCCAGCGCAAATATGTGATTTGCTGATACGGCAAATCGGAAGCTGCTTAATTGCATCAGATTTCTCCCTGAAAAGGCTTTTTAACTACCCTCAAATATCAGCCAGGCTGAGGCTAAGTACATGTTTGAATATTTGCTTCAGTTCTCTGGTGACAAAACTGCTGATGTGGTTGTTCTCACATCTATGATTGATCAAAAAAAAAAAAAAAGAAAGAAAAGAAAAGACAAAATTTTAATCCTAACACAAACAACCAGATGAGAGATGCTCCACAGAAGGCAATTTCGCACAGAACTGATTTTCATAACGATTTTCAAGCATTTCCTCTTTTATCAGTGTTTTCTCCTAAACATCAGACACTAAAGTAAATTGAGTTCTCTCTTCCTGATATAATTTGACATTATTTTGGTGGCTTTGGACCGTCTCTTGCCTTGTGATCTGTTCTCAGCAGTAAACATTTGATAAGCAGTTGTTCACTTGAAGATATTTTTTGGCTGCGGGATATCAAAGTAGCCTTGCCATCAAAAACAATTTGCCACTATACTTTATACCTGCAAAACTTCAGGTGGTTTTAATTACCTTTGTTCAGAGATCACAGAATCCAGACTGGTTTGGGTTGGAAGGGACCTTACAGCCCATCCAGTGCCACCCTCTGACATGGGCAGGGACACCTCCCACTAGAGCAGGTTGCTCCAACCTGGCCTGGGACACTTCCAGGGATTTTAAATTCCCTTCCTTCTCTTGTGGCAGTGTTCACCACCCCCTCCCCAGCTTGTGATATCATCAAGCAGGCTTAAGCTCACTCTAATTTCTTGAACATTTTTTATTTCCTTTTCCTTTCTCTTCTATTTTTTTTTCTCTCTTTTCTTTGTATTTACAGCTTTTCTCTCCTTTTCTTTGAACCACAGACAAGAAATTGTCACAGCCCATCAGTATTCAGCAATCCACACTCGGGCTGGAGCAGCAAAATGTGATTATTCTCATAAGTCACACGGCAGTTGTTGTTCTGTTCCCTTCATGGCTGAGTGTAACTCATAATTAGTATTTGAAGCAGCCACCAGGGCTTTGAATCTCGGTGGAGAAGAGGGGAGAGAAGGAGGCTTGTTCTGCTTTAGAAAAACTGTTATCTGAGGCTCATCCCACTCCCTCCACTCCAAACCTTTGCAGCAGGAGCGTTGGTGTCTCGTCCTTCCTTCGGGAGGGGGTGACAGGAGCTGCTCACCACAATATGTGCCTGTTTTCCCATCTCAAGATGGAAGAAGCAGGTTTTCCAAAACCCCTTGGAATTCCCAGGGGGCTGTGTGAATTTGGAGGCTCCTCCAGCAGCGTGGTGGTTCTTCTGCTTTGGCTCAGGGCAGCTTCTTCTCTTAAACGTTCACTGGGCGTGAGAAAGCCACGGTAAATGGCAGGAACAACAGCTACAGGCTCACAGAGACACGCTTTTTTCAGGTGGATCCCTCCCTTGTGCAGAGCTGTGGCACCTGCTGGCCCTGCTTTGGGAAAACAGCTGCTGTGCCCTTTCCTTCTTTCCCAAACTTCTTTGAGCTGCTCTCTGCAGGTTCCTCAGGTGTCACCGAGGAAATGGCTCTGGAATACAAACAATTCCACCTCAGCCCTTGGCTTTGGTTGCTCTGGGTATCCCAAAGCAGCACCTGGATTCATCCTGGTGAATTCTTAGGGACCCTCAGCAAGAGGGATCACCAGCACTGATGTCCATGAGCACAAATGCAGCCCCCAAAAGGCCTCCTCCTCCTCTGGGTGTGCATCACCTTGGGGGTGTAAATGGAGTTTCCAAAGCTGTAGGGTGAGCTTTATGCCAGAAGTGGAATTCCTTGCTTCTCTCCTCCTTCTAGAACCAATCAGACAGAAAAACACAGCCATGAAAACACTTCTCCAAATCAAGCAAACACCCCAGGCTTTTGTTTTTGTTGTGACTACCTCAACACATCTGCAGTTAACCAGCAGCCTCATCATCCATCTTCGGGGTGGAACTTCCCTCATTTCCTCATTTCCCTCATTTTCCTGTGGAGAAAGCACAGTATTTTGGGTTTTAATACTAAAATCAGTGAGACAGACAACCAGAAGAACCAGTGCCCTTTCTTTTCTAATCCTCTTTCTGATGGCAGTAACAGGGATGTGTTATGGCATAAAACAAGGCAAAAATGAAAATGGAACCTGCATCTCACTGGTTGGGCTGTCTGGGATGCAAAATCCATTTCTGGGAATTTAGGCTGTGCAAGTAGATCTGAATTCACGCCACACAAGATGAGAGAAATAAAAAAATATAGGAAAGAGGTATCTCAGACAGCAGTGCTTAGCAACTCAGGAGAAAAATACTGATATTTAAAGATTTCTAAACCCTAAAGGAAAGAATAAAAGCAAAGAATGAGATAGAAACTCAAGCATAAAAAGCACTCATAAAAGCCAACACAGACCAACATTTGCTTATCATGGGTGTGATTTTAGTATATTAAACACATCAGAAATCAGCCTCATTGCATGGTAACTCTATTCCATATGCATTAGCCTGTATGTAATGCTGAGTACTCATGGATTATGTAGATTTTGAACACTGCCCAGCAGAATCTCTCTGCACACAGGACAAGACACCCAAGAGAAAGCATCTTAGTAGAGGGAGAGTGAAAAGATTTCCCTCTGTGGCACAGGAGATGTGTCCCAGTCCCCCCTGACCAACAAAAAATGTTCTTGTTTTATCCTGGAAAATAAATGTGCCCCGATATTTTTATTGCCTGCTGTCACTGAACTGGAGCAGAGGACCTTGGGGGACAAGCAAATATATCATTTTAATTAACACCTAATTGTGCTTGACACCTGAAATTGTGCTGAGCTTCTCCCCTGCCAGACGCAAGAAGTGAAGGATGTCTGGGCAGCTGCTTCTCTCCTCTCTTTTCCACTGTCCCAAGACACAGGAGCTGGGAATTACTTCTATCTTCAGTGTGGAACTTCTTTCCCTCATTTTCTCGTGGAGAGAGCACAGCATTTTGTTTTAAATACTAAAATCAGTGAGATTTTAGTGAGATAACCAGATTTTCAGCAAGTGAGAAGCAGAAATTCTTCCCGTGGAAGGGAGAGTTTTCTTTGTCACTAAAAAAACCCTGAAAAGTCACATATAGAGCAGATCAACCACTTCTTTGAAAATCCATTTGCACCACTATTCCCCTCTGGGTTGAGGAATCCAGCACAAACACTAAACCATTAAAAAGCAATATGTAAATGTAACCTTGAGATTATAGGGGGGAGACCCACCCAGAGTAGTAGAAACTCGAGGAAGGTTTAATGATATGATCTCAGAAAGTTATAACAATAGCATTGTCCCACCTTATATTGTTCTACTTGTCTCATTAGCTTTTATTAGCACACTGGATTCATCCCAGCCTGTTTTATGACACTGCTTGATGTAAATCAATGCACAGCCTCCCAAATGACTAATATAAGGCAGCCAGCTCCACTATAAAAGAAAGGCTTGACAGATGGGAAGCCAACAGAAAACTGCAGCAGGCTGTTAAACTGATTTTTTTTATCATTTTATATCAAAGTATACACCTGGAAACGAGAGCAGTTTGGTGGCTGGAATTTCAGGGAAAGAGAATGTGGGGAACACTGTGAGTCCCCCATCACCTGGGCACCCCAAAATGCTCTGGGCACAGAGATCACAGCACCTTAATAATGTCCCCAGAGCAGCTTCCTGGGACCTCCTTGTCCTGGCTGTGCTGACACCCTGATACCCACAGGGTGGGAGGAGGATCAAAGCAATGATCCCTTGAACTCTCCTGGGACAGGATGATGATGCCAGGTCACTCCTGTCCCCACGGGGCTGTCACCTCACTGTCCCAGTGGAGGGGAGGTGATGTCCCCAAGCCTTCTCCTGTTCAGAGGGTCTGGAGGCACCCACCTGTTTATCACAGGCCTTACAAAGGTCTCTGCCCCTCAGAGCTCCAGCTCACAGGCCATCACGTCCTTCCCATCCCAGTTAGGTGGCTTAGCCATGACATTTTGGCCAGCAGGGTCACCCAGAGGTCACTGAACCTCTGCAGGTCACCTTGGTGGGTCTGGTGTGCATCCCCTGCTCAAAATAAGCCAGCCAAGAGGTGTCTGTCTCCTCAGAGCTCCACACAAGAAGCTCACTCTGGCCTTTTCTCCCTCCAGGGGAAGGTGATGATGATATTTAGGAAAGGCAGTGTTGGTGATGGAGCAAAGGTGCCAAGTCCTTAAAAATGGCTTTGCCACCTACAACTGGAGGTGGCAGCCCAAGTTTGACTTAATTACACTAATTGGTTTGACAATCTGGGAGGAAATGGTGGTTAGCACCTTTGGAGCACAGGGGGATGTTAGCGAGGAATGCCGTGATAAAATCAAATTCCCTCATGGATAGAGACTTGCAAGTAATTATCTGAGGTGTTGGCTGGCTGTGGGGAGAGCTGCAAAGCTAAATGTCTTTGCTACATCCACATTTCGTGAATTGAGAGAAGTATTTTGGTTCCCAAACTCTGTGAAGTTAATTTACAGGGCTCAGCTTGTTCCAGTCAGAGGTGCTTTGCAATAGCGTCCTCACACCAGCTGGTTTTACCTCCAAAATGGGAATCTGAGTTATTTAGATATGGTATCCTGAAAAGGTTCAAAGGAAAGAAAAGCACCCAAGAGAAAGCAGTCTGAATTCCACCTGTGATGGGCTCGCTACCAATGCAAACAAGATTCTCGGTGGTGTTTGTAACAAACAAGCAATTCCTTGATGTTCTTTAAGCCTCATAAACAGAAATCCAGCTGTTCCCATGGGTACTGCTGAGGGAAGTGTTTCTTGGGACACACTGACTCTTGCCTGGCACTGAGTTCTCTTTAGAGACAATGGTTAAATCAGAAATAAATGGAAAAACACATTGGTGTAACTTTGTTCAAAATCCCAGTTTCCTGAACTGGTGAGTTGTCCTAATGCTTGGACATTTAAATTGTTTGAGACCTCATTTAGATGGATTAGCTTGATTTCAGGGAATTACAGGTCTGGACTAACAATTAGGCCCAGCTCTAGTCCATCTTTGAGCAGGGAATCCTCAAACCATGTCATCTGCCCAGCAAAGCTCTCTAAGGTGGGCCAGGCAACCCATGGACTAGGATTGTCTGAATCTGTGACAGAAGCAGCAGCCCCCAGGAGAAGCAATCAAATACTAAAGAATATGAAGGCTGATTATAAAGTCATCAAGCCTGATGCAAAATAGGAAAGATTTCAATATGCATTATTATGTCAGGGCTGCTTTTCAAGCTAAAAATTCCAAGCCAACTTTCTGGCAGCAGTTTTGGTCCCTTCCCACTCCTAACTCAGTCCCTGAAATGCTCCACGAGCACAGGGAATCAGGAGCCCTGTGGGGCCCTGTGTTGTTCTGGTTATGGTGAGAAGTGATTTCATGGGGATTATGCTGCCAGGGATATGCATGACTTTGGCTGCACAGGTTTATTTAAATAAATTACTTCATTTTCAAGAAGAAAATCTGTTTTCACACACGTCAGTCATTTAGGTCGCGTCCTTCTTGGGGACTTCACTATCTCCTTTATTAAGGTTTTTTAATACACTTTTGGTTTTTTAATATGGTTTTCCAATGACTTTTCACTAAGAAAAATAGTGGTTTCTTTCAGAAATAAATCCAGTCTTTTTCATTCAAACTCAGACACACAGACAGGACTTTCCTCCTCAGAACCATCACATTGATATCACAGAGCAAAGGGAAGGATCTACAACCTGAGTTTTCACAGAGCAGGTGTTTGAGCCCCAGCTGAAAACTAACTGCAGTCTTCCCATGAAATGCAATAAAAACTCAGCAGAGAGTCTCAGTTGAAGGGAGCTTTTCCCCATGTCATGGTGAAGTCCTTAAATGGGATTGTGTTTTTCTGATCGAGGAAATGTTCGGGGCTCAGGTCTGTTGGGCTTGTTTGGGGAGAGAGACACAGAGAGAGAGAGAGAAGCTAATAAAGAAACAGAAGCCAAAACAAGGAAATAATATGGTTTCAAAGGAAATAGAATTTAGAACATCTGCTGCTCTCTCTGCAGTGAAAAAATCATTTAATCTGGGGAGCATCTGAGGTTGGAACATTATTAAATAGAGCAAGGGAAAAACACATCACCAGCTCTACAAGAACTTTGGGAGGAAAATCTATCCTGAACTGGAGCGAAAGGCTGAAGCTGAGATATTTCAGACTTCAAGTCCCCCTGAAATATTTTATTTCAACCAGCTTACAAAGATTTTGTTGATATTCAGTTGAGGGAATTTGGAGCTCTGGCCACTTGTGGAACAAATCAAGCAAACCTGAACACTGGAACGGGGAATTCACCAAAAGAAGCTCCTCAAAGTTTCAGTTTTAAACACAGAAAACCAATGATCAGTTTCAAATATAAGCAACTTCCAAAAAAGGTTCCAACACCCACCTTGAGACGTCTTCATCCCTCTCCACGAGGCATCCAACACCGAATCCTTCAGCTTTCCATGCACTTCATTTTCATGGCACAATGGAGGGCCAAACCCAACCTGTGCACTCCAAGAGGTGCCCTGGATGCCTCAGGTGTATTAAAGCACAATTATTAAAGCTCAAATGCCTCTTTCACACAGAAACTTTCCCAGAAGGAACCAATTTCCACACACACACAGACAGTGGAGTTTGAAGTCAGCCTTTCTGACACCCCACGTGCTGAGCTGCAATCCGGGAGCTCAGCTGGTTTCTGGGCAGTAAAATCACGGCTTAGAGACAACAATGCAGGCTCATCCAGACATTCCTCAGGCCTTGCTCTTCTTGAGCTTGCTACATGTTTGTATTTCCATCTTTCAGCTGTACATTTCGTGATAAAAACACTCCAGAATATGAAGTCGAAATTCCCACGCTAAGGGAAGGGACAAGGTGGAAGAATGAGCTCTGGAAGGCCAGGTTGGACAGGGCTTGGAGCAACCTGGGATAGGGGAAGGTGTCCCTGCCCATGACAGGAGGGAACTGGATGATCTTTAGGGTCCCTTCCAGCCCAAACCATTCCAGGATTCCATGGTGCATCCCAAGCTGCTGCACACTGAGCAACATCCACGGGAAGCAGCTCTCCAGCACAGCTCTCCAAACACCACCCAGCTCAAAGCCTTCAGAACCCACTGGGCCAGTTCAGCTGCTCAAAGGCCCCTCTCAGGTCCCACTGCTGGAATTTTTACACAGCCACCCATTGACACCTATGGAAGTGCAACAGTGGGGAGTGCCATCCCAAAATTGGGTTGTCATTGATGTGACAGCACAAAATTGAGACATATATTAAAATCTGCTGCAAGGCAAACCCCACAGCCCTTTAACAGAGCCAGAAACAGCCCATGGCTCTCCCAGGTTCCACTGATCTGGTCCTGATCCAGCACATTACCCAGTCCTGATCCCAGCAAACCATGGAAAAAAAGCTGGAATATATGAAGCCAAAATTCCCACAGTGAGGGCAGGGACAAGGTGGAAGAATGAACATTGGAAGTGTCCAAGGCCAGGTTGGATGGATTTTGGAGCAACCTGGGCTGGTGGAAGGTGGAACTGGATGAGCTTCCAACCCAAACCATTCCATGATCTACGACATGGGCTCCATCCCCACACTGAACACACCCCTGGAAGCTCCCCAGCTTCAAAATACCTGAGCATATCAAAGCCCTGAGCATCAGAAAGCAATTTTTTTATAATAGCATTTCCAGCTCCGTGGGCAGCAGCCTAAATGCCCAGCTGAGACAATGAGAGGGGACATGTGGAAACTCCAATAAAGGTAAAATCGGTGCAATATCTCAATTCCTTACAGTAAGTGAATTAAGGTTTTTTGGTAAGAGAACCGAGGTCGAGCTTGATGACTTAGAAAGGAAAAGCATCACAGCCTAGAAGCTTCCACAAGCACTGAAGCCAAGGGACAAATTCCCTAAGCCTTTTTCTAATCCTGCCAAAATTACAACAGAAATAAAGGGAAAAAGAACTGTGAAAGGAGGAAAATAATGAATACTGTGGTTAAGCCCCAAGCTGTTCCTGGAACAGGTCAGAAATGCCCTGGAAAGCAGCATTCCATAAATCCAGCTTCCCTGCACACCCTGTTGCATTCTGGAATTGTGCTTTCCAGTTTTTCCCATCTGCAGAGGTTTCATGGATCAGTTTTATTTGGCCATTGGTTCTGGGAGTATTTGGCAACATGCACAGGTTTTTCCATAGTATTTTGTTTAGGGGGGGAAAAATCCACGATAACCAACCAAACATATAAAAATACCTAAAAAATAAAAGGAAGAGGAAGGGGAGATGGAGTGGGAAGGGAAGGTTTGGGAAGGCTTGGGAAAGGGAAAGGGAAAAAACCACTTTTTCCTAATTAATTTACAAATCACCAAATTAGAGACAAAAAGGGAGTTATTGCCCTACCTGTATCCACCCTCGTGGATGGAGGAATTTTGATCCCCTGGAATTAGGGAAAGCCTTGGAGGGCCACAGGAGATCTGCAGGTGTGAGGGAGAGCTTGGGCTTTCCAGGAACCATCAGCAAGTTGAGCGGAATGACTGAGATTTTGTATAAAAGAAATGAAGAATTACCCTAATTTTAAATTAAGGAAGGATTTACCTGATTTACTCACAAGTACTTCTCGCATTTTGTAGGAGAACAGAGGGTGCAGCATCACAAGATAAATAAATATAAATATAAATATAAATATAAATATAAATATAAATATAAATATAAATATAAATATAAATATAAATATAAATATAAATATAAATATAAATATAAAGACCAGTGCAGGGTGGGATGAGCACTGACTTCTCCAGAAGAGATTCCATCCTTCCCTCTCCTGGCCAAGGACACACCTGATAACACAGAAGGGATGTCTCAGCTCTAATCCAAAAGAGCAGATTAAATAAATTAATATAAAAATGCTGTCAGGAGGTGGTGGGAAGGACTAAAATGCCCCTGCAACTGCTGCAAGCCCTCTGACACCAGTGGAGATGCTTCTCCTTCTCCAAATGGTGCTGGTGGTTATTTCCAAAGCTTTCCAGTTCCCCATAGGAAGGGGAGAAGGAAAATCTACCCTTAGTTATAAGATTCAAATCTGCTCCACCGCTGATTGATAGAACCAGGAAAAAACACCTTTCCTCATTAATTTACAAATCACCACATTAGAGAGAAAAAGGGAGTCATTGCCCTATCTGGTTTGATAATTTTACTCTCATAAATATGTGAATTTACTAGAACATTTGCCTACTTTCTCTTTTTTAAGGCAAAAAAAACAAATGTGAAGGGAATGACAGAGAACCTAGAAATATGTTAATTCCTTTCCTTCATCAAACAGCCATGAATATACATTACCATAATATATTACTATTTCCAGCTTCTTTGATTTATGTTCTGGATAACATGTTTATATAAAACCAACCTCCACAAGAAGGCAAAGAAGAAAAGAGAAACCAAAGAAAAAAAAAATCACAACACCAGCAGCAGGGAAACCAAATATCACCTAAAATGAACTAATAGTAAAGTAGGCCAGACAAAAACTAGTAAAGTTTCCAAGGATTTCTGAGGCACTTTGTTATGAAGGGTTTTTTTTTTTTTTTAACATCAAGGTTTGTGAAAACATGATTTGCAAAGATACACCACCAAAAATTCATTAAGGGTGGAGGTAATTAAAAATTCAAACCTGGTAATTCAAACCAGGGTGAAGGTAAATAAAAGAAAACTGACCCAACACGCAGTTACTGATATTTATCACGTCTGATTTCATGTCAGTGACTCCCAATCACATCCCCAAAAATCAGTGTAATCCAGAGGGGCTGTTTGCAGCACCACAGAGGCACAACTGGACAAATTCTTGCTCACAGAGGTTTCCCACTAAATGGTTTTTGATTGCCACTGAATTTGGGGTTGTCCTGGTTTGTGCCACTGAATTTGGGTTTGTTCTTGTTTGTGCCACTGAATTTGGGTTTGTCCTGGTTTGTGCCACTGAATTTGGGTTTGTTCTTGTTTGTGCCACTGAATTTGGGTTTGTCCTGGTTTGTGGCACTGAATTTGGGTTTGTTCTTGTTTGTGCCACTGAATTTGGGTTTGTCCTGGTTTGTGCCACTGAAGGCAGAGGGGCAGAGATATTGGGACAGGAGGAAAAAGGAAAAAAGGAAATATTGCACCTGTCTCCAAGAAACAGGATCCAGTTTCACTTCACTGCATGTTCCTGTTATTACAGAAGCCCAAATTACTGCCTGCAATTATTCACTGAATCTTCACCAGCTATCAATTCAATCCAATCCATCAACTCAGTCATTTCAATTATTCTCCTAATCTTTGGGAGAGGGTATTTACAAGTTCCTGTTATTTTACCCAAGCCCATAAATCACGAAATGCAGGGTTTTTTGCCATGCAATATCTGCCCTATTTATTCCTCTGTCTGTATGACAAGCACACTGCTCAAAGAACTGCATTGTTGTCATTGGAAAGAATGATCCAAACGCATCCCAGGACTTCATCTGTATTTCCCTGAGTGTTTTATGATGTACACGAGGTAGAGAAAAAGGTCTTCAAGTGATTTGGGAGGAAATATATTGCACCGTGTCTGCTTGGATTGTCTTCAGGCAGAACTTGTTTCCAGGATTCTTTAATTTACATTTCTGCTGTTTATGTGCTCAGTTTTAATGCTTCTTCACCCGCCTGGGATATTGGTAAGTGGAGTAAGAGATGTTTTTATGAGCCATATACAGTGAAACACAGAGAGGTTAAAAATGGATAAGCAATATTTATTAATCTGTTGGTGCACAAAGAACAAAGTCAAATTTTTCCAGAGCCCTCAGAAATGAAACCTTCAAAATATGGGTTTAGCCCTGATGGGCACAAAAAGAGTAATTTCATTTTGTTATGATTATGGGCAAGTTTCAGCTCCTCCAAATAAATACTGGGGTGAGAAACTGAGTCACTTCTTCCTCTTTTTTCAACAATACCGTTATTCCGGCAATCTCTCTTTTTATGGGCTTATAAAAGATAACATTAAAGCAGATGGAGAGCCTGCCAATCCCACAAATTCATCTATTATTAACATGGAAAATGTAGTAAAGAATAAACTCTTGGCTTTAGAAGAGTTCCATCGTTTTCAGACACCTCTGGGAAGATCCATGGCCCCCTCACGCTTTCAGCAGATGCTTTATAAAGTGAGATGACAAAACTGTTTGGGGGTTTTTAGTTGGTCTCTTTTTTTCAGTTAGTTCATCCCAATGAACTTCTGACTGTGAATGGGAAAAGAGTCATGAGAGGAAATGTTCCCATCCTTTGTTTCTCCTCCCCAACCTTCCATACACCTTTTCTGGGTCCTACCAACAACCTTCAGTAGCACTGAAATCTGGGAGCAATGAGCACTATTGGTTCCCTCACAGCATATTTTGCTGACAGCTCTGCAAAGTCAAGTGTAAATGAATATTAAATTTGCATATTCAAAGCATAAATCCTAATTAAATAGAGAATTTCAGCCCTACCCTTAACGCTCAGGCTGTTCAATCTTGCTTACTCCCTACAGTAGATATTCCAGAAAGATGAGAAAAGTATATGCTTTTTTTTCTTTTCTTATTAGGAAAAGTCTGAGAACAATCCTGCCCATCTTCTCCTCCCTGTGAGGGTGGGCAGGCCCTGGCACAGGTTTCCCAAAGAACTTGTAAATGCCCCATCCCTGGAAGTGTCCCAGGCCAGGTTGGACAGGGCTTGGAGCAACCTGGGCTGGTGGAAGGTGTCCCTGCCCGTGGAATGGGATGGGCTTTAAGGTCCCTCCCAACCCAAACCATCCTATGATTCTGTGAAATTTTAATCACCTTTTTTCCCTGAATTCTCCCCTGTTTATCCCTCACTGGGTAATGCCAGGGTTTTCCCTTTGCATTCCACTGAGAAGGAGCCCCTTTCTTCCTCCCCCTGCTGCTGGCTCAGGATTCATGTTCAAGATTTTATCAGCTCCAGCACTGAAGGAGCTCAGTGAATGAAAATGTGCTTTTGTTCCCATTTTTTAGGCATTATATCAGGGAGGAAGAAAGCTCCTTGTCTGGCTGACAGAAACTAAGTGGTTCTATCTGTTGTACCCCGCTTCCTTATCGACTGCTTTCCATTGTTTCCAGGAAAACCCTTTTGTAACGGGGAAGGAACTCGATAAAAACACAGAACAAGGACTGGACTAATTCAAAAGGACAGTTTTCTGTCCCTGGATGTTCAAGCCATGACCCTGCCTGTGAACAGTGATCCATGAATGAGCTGTGTGGATATTGAGGGTGTCAAACAGTGCCCAGAATATCCATAATCCTCTCAGATAGCCTGAGGGACAAGAGCCACAGACACGCTCTCTGCATGTCCAGTCCTAAAGAGAACAGGAGCTGCTGCCTCTTCCCCTTTCATATATGAAATCCCTAATCCCAAAACAACCCTTTCATCCCCCTGGATATGCAGTTCTCTCACATTTGAACTCTTTCTCTCTCCTTCCCAGCTGGAAAACCAAAGAGCCCACCTGGAAAGAGCCCAGGGTGGTGTCAGCCCCCTGCTCGCAGCAAGAGCTTCCTGCCTAGGAAAAAAGAACAGGAAAAGCTGAAGGAAAAGAAGCTCGAGTTCAATTTGGGAAAATGCTTTATGATTTATTATATCATTTATTTTAACATAATATTATGTTGTATATCATATTGATACACATGTTCTCATTTACTGTGTCTCATATTAAACTGTTTTTTTTTTACCATTGATCCATTCTAGGGGCATCTACAATCACCTTCAGTGCTGGCCAAAAATCCCCCACACTGAGGGTTCTCAGGGCCTCAAGCACTGCCCTCAGTACCTGTTGCTGTGTGACTGCAATCATGGGGTGCAGACCAAGCCTGCAGAGCTGGACCAGGGTCTCCAACACATCCCTGATGCCCTTGTGGGTAGGGGACCAAACCTCTTCACGCCACAGCCTCCTGCAAAGCGGCCACAACACTCTGCATTTATGAAATGATTGCACCTTGTGAGCAGAGCCAACTTCCCACAGCTTTTATTAAGCAGCTGGTTGTGGCTGGGGCTGGGGAGTGGCGGTGCCAACACCTCCAGTGACAAATGGAAGCTCAGACATCTGGCCCTGAGCGCTCACAGACACGTTGATTTCCTGAAACGATGGCACACAAACGATAGAAACAAAACAAAACCAAGCAAAACAAGGGAGGGCTCTGTCTGACAGTTGCTGCTGTGTTTCAAAGTGAGAAGATGCTTCACTGGGGGGGTTCTGCTGGGAGACAGCAACCTGCAAAAAGGGCTCGTGGAAAAGAACTTTCCACTTGAAATAATAATCACATCTCTAGCTGGGACTGCACTGCCAATGAAGCAAAGGGCCTTGAGACAGCCAGAAACGTAGGGTGGATTAATTTGTCGAGATGTGACACTGTTTTCCTTGCAGGAGAGTTGCATTTCATTTATCAGGTTGTTTCCCTCTCAGCAACCACAACAGCACGACCTCCTCGCTGCCTGAACTGCAGCAGGTCTGCAACAGGATAGAAAACACCCAGAACTGTCCCAAACCCAACAAAGATCTGATTTCCCACTCATTTCCCACCACTTTCCCTGGTTTTTTTTTTGCTGTCTATTTGTCTGGCTTTTTGTCCTGCTGAGCAACAATCAGTGCATGATAAAATTTCCTAATTGCAAAGGGCAAGTCAACCATAATTATGATTTTTTTTTTTTTTTTTGCTAAGATTATTTTCCAGAGATGTCCCCAGCTCTCAGGGAAATGAGAAGCTGGGCTGCCTGGTGATATATTTTTATAGCTGCCTTCAGGGACAGGGGTTCTGCTGAGCTGTGAATAAAGAGAGGAGGACACTCCAAGGGCCAATGTTACATTCAAATTGTCAGGCACCTCAAGGCTCCTGAGCCTGTTTAAGGCACAGGGACACCAAGAGAGCATCCCCCCAAATTCCATTCCATTTCTGATGGCTCAGGCTGCAGCAAATCCACATTTTCTATTAGACAACATGAAAAAAACCATAATTAAGTAAAATAACCATATTTAAAGCCCACCTTCAGGTGTCTGAAAGGAGAGAGATCAATGCAAGGACTTTTTTTCTTCTCTCCAGACGTCTCCTTAGAGAGGCAGCAATGGGGTCTGGAAAACACAGGAACCCTCCAGCAGCAACTTTCTCCTGAAAGAAAGACTTTTGTGACCCCTCTGGAATTACTGTAAGGACAAAACTCCTGCTTTTGGCACAAAAAAAAAAAAAAAAAAAAAAGTTACATTATATTATTTAGGAATAAAAATCTTCAATGAAGAAAGACCTCAATGAAGAAAGGCTTCAATGAACATTTGTGGTGATTTTTAGGTGTTTCCACAACAAACACAAAGAAGTCCAAAAAGTACCTTCTCCCTCTTTGCCATTCCCAAATCTGTGTGTTTAAAAATAAAAGCAACAGAATGCAACATATTCAGAACGAAAATGTGAGCTCATCTGTGGGATGACAGCCCAGAAAAGTGAGCATCTGTATATTTGGATGTATCTTATTTACACCCAGGAAAGACACTGGGAACATCATAAAATCCTGTGGAAAAAAAACAAACAAACAAAACCAAACCTAAATGGCCTTAGAGTGACGTGAAATTTAGAGGAAAACTGGCCAAAATTTACTACCTGGAATGCAAATTCATCGCAAAAAATTATGCAACACGCTTTTCCAGTCACATCAAATATGCAAAAATATGGTTGCAAATTGGAAGTAAAGCAAAACACAGATGCACCATAAATTTCATTCTGGTACCATCACGAGGAGCAAAAGCCTGAGAAAGATTTTTGCATTTTTATTCCCTCCATTCAGTTTATTCACCTCTTTTGACTGTGAATGAGACACCCATTAAAATATTAAAAGCTATTTAGTAGGTGATCTGAAATGATTAAAAACAGGATAGAAGAAAAAAAAAATTAAAAAAGCATTTCCAGTGCTTGTCAGCATCAGTTTTTCTGATCAAATTTAATACAAAATAGCTAATGAGGGCAACTCAGCCCCACGAACGTTGCTCAAAATGCAAACTTGATTTCCCAAATCATCCCCTCCACATTTAATACGGTGATGATTACAAGAAAAGCAGTGCTCCAGTATGGTAATTTCCTCCCTGTTTTTCTGCTGATGCTGCCCTTCATCTGAAGGATCCTGTCAACCTCTCTTCCCCAGCAGATCAAAGCCAGGCATCCAGTTTGTACCAGATGCCATCAGGAAAAAATTACACTTAAAAATTCCCGAAGTAATTAAAAAAGCTCTGTATAAACCGTCTCAAAGAGGAACACACAGCGTACCAACCCTCCCCTCTTTAAACAACTTCTGGGAAGGTGACAAAATGTGACTTCAAGCTCATGCTGAACGTGCCACCTCCTTCCTTTGAAGCCCTAATTAATGATCTTACCTGAGCATCACAGTAAACACGAGACTGCAGGCTGGCTTTGGCACTCTGGGATCCTTACCCTCACTCATGCCAAGGAAGACCATGGAATTCTGGGGAGCAGGTGGATCTTGGACGAGGAATTTCAGGGACAGGATGATCCTGGAGCAGGTTCATGGTGCTGGGTTTATCCTGGGGACATGACCCTCCATGCACTCTGATGTCACTCAAGGGGTTGTGCCGCCCCTGACCCAGGGGGAATTCACGGCCAGGAGTGGGAACTTTGTCTCCTGCTGTTGTGCTGGGAATGTGGGAATGCCAAAAAGCCAGAGGAGAAGAGGTATAGATGGACCAACCCGTGTAGTGATGCCAAAATCCAGCCCAAAACAGGATCAAGAAAAAAACAAGGATGCCAGGCAGAAGAGCCTCTGTTTCAGAACTGAATCTTGCTTGCTTTACCTTGGAATGCCATGTGGGGTTTTTCTATCAGTTTATTAGGGGTTTATGCTCATCCTGCTGTCAGTCATCTCCAAGCCCAGCTCTCATCCTTTCCTTCCCCCTCTGGGACGGCTCCAAACTCTCCTTGCCTGGCACCAGGAGGCCACGAGCAGGCAGGGGTAGCCCTGAGAGCCCCCCAGGGACACAGCAGGGAGTGTTCCAGGGCACACAGCCTGTCACCAGCGTCCCACCACCACCCCAGACAAACCTCAGCCAAGGTGGGCTTGTCTCCCACGGGCTGCTTTCATCAAACAATTCACCGAGGGGCTGAAGTGCCTGGGGAGCACAAAGGACACGAGCTGAAATGCATCCAGTGCTGCTGCTGCTGCCAAGAATGTGACTGGGAGCAGCTTCCACTGTTTGGAGGCTCGAGAAAAGATGAAAACATCCGGCCTGGCACCTAAAGGGGCTGCCCAATCCATCCTGGAGAGCAAGGAATGGAGCTGGTATTCATTAACCCTTCCCTCTTGGCTTCTTTAATAAAATGAGAGAGAACTCTGTCCAGCCCACGAGCAAGATTCATTTTTTTCCTAAATGACAAAGAAATGGAAAACACGAGGCACTTGGCAAAGTATTCCTTTGAGTAGCTTGGCAGCTTGTCATTGATAATGGAATTGTTGTCTGATCGTCAGTCATCTGCAATTTAATTTACCCACAAAACCTACCGCCTCTTCTTGCACATATTTCTCCACAATGTGCCTATTTACCTTCCCAAACAGGAAGAAATACATTAGATGATTTAAAGGGTAGCCCTTAATGCAATTTAGGGGCTTGCAGATTGATTTTCCTTAATGAACTTTATATCCTGCCATCCTGTCGTTTTTTCCTCTGGTCCATTCAATTAGGCCCTAATCAGTTATTAAGGGTTAGATAATGGGAACGTGACATCATCCACACGAGGCAGAAATTTTTTGAGGGAGATTAATTAAAATCTAATTTTCATGCAAGGCTGGACCGTCTGAGACAAAAGGTGCCTGTGATAATTGCAAGGCAAAAAAAAAAAAATAAAAGGGAAGAGAAAAAAAAAAAATCCTGGAAAGCCCAAAATGGGGAAAAGAAGAACACCCAGCTTGGGGAGAAAGGAGTTGAGAGAGAACACGTTCCTCTTGTGTGTATAAGAGAACCTCTGTGCTGTCTTCATCTAAACCACTGCAGAACAAACACTGGGAATTGAAGCATTTCAGGAGAAGGGCTTTTTTTATTGGGGATGAAAAGCAGGAGTCATTCATGTGCTGCTTTCAGGTAGAAACACACACTTTAATAGCAGCAGCAGCAGTGCTTAAAGCAGAGAGGCTTCTGTGGGGTTTGTTAATATTGACTTGTGAGCGAGGGGAGCTTTGGGCTCTGAATACACATCTAATCTCCACAGAGAGCACAGCTCAGCAGCTCCATTTGCCCCGCATCAAAGAAGGAAAAAAAGTTGTTATTCTGCCAGGAAAATTGATCTATTTATCTGATGCAACACAGGGTTTGTTTTTCCTGACCTCCATTTTTTTCAAAGAAGGGATGCTGCAACCATTCTTAAAAACAACCTGAAATACAAGGGGTATGTCAACAACTAAGAACTTTCTAGTAACAATATCCATATTGCTGCAGGAATTTTGGACACCCTCATATTTCAGAGTAAAGAAAAAACCAGATCCAACGGAGTAAAAATAAGCAACAAAGTGCTGACACCTCGTGGGGGCCTCGCCGGCCTCGTCTCCTGGTTCTGCTGGATTGGGGCTCTGGTTATGGCCAGGGAGAGCCAAGCCCGAGGGGCAGAATGTTCCACAAAATGCTCCACCCCTTGTGGGGTTTGGGATTTGAGTCTTTGTCAGCTCTCTTTTGAAGGATTAGAAGTAAAACTCCTGCTTTTGTCCGGGTTTTCTCTTCTTAGACGGCTTTGAATTGGCTGGAAAAGTTTTATTCTCCAAACAATTTCCAGAAGATTTCACTGGATTTAAAAAAATGTGTTCTCCACATTATATATATATTTTTTTCTCCCTTTAGTTTTCTTGGCTCCCTTTTTCCTCCAAACCTTCCAAGCATCCCTGTAACCATCTGTAACCATAGTCCCAATAAAGAAGGCAAGTCTTTTGGTTAACTGAGGTTTTCATTGGTTTCTTCCCCCAGATACGAGGCATTCAAGGTTGCTTCACAGAAAATCAACCCTCCCCCTATTGCCTCGGTGCAGGTGCACAGAAATCAGAACAGATCAACACCAGAATCCCAGGGAAAGAGGAACTAACACATCTTTCTGATTCCAGGGTGGAACCCACAGCACAGCTGCCTCTTGTGGATGCTCTGAATGGGAGCACGTGTTTGATGCCGAGGAGAATTCCAGAGGGGAGCTGGGAACACACAGGGAACCAGCCAGTTGCTTTCTACATGCTTCTAAATATCCCATATATTTATTCATATTAAATATGTATTTACTCACCTTTTCTCTGCATTCCCACGATCCCTTGAAGAGCAGCCCGTGTCGTAACGTGTGCTGCAATAATGGATATTATAATACATAAATAATACCTAAAATAATGGATAACTCACCGAGAAGCTGCAGTTTCTCCTCAAATCCATGCTCCTTATAGACCCCACTCAGTTCTAGAGAGGTGAGACAAAGGGCAGAGCACATAAGGGACACATGAAGATTTAATAAAGGGTTTGCCAAAGTACTGAAGACCAAAGGCAAAGATTCTTTCCATGTTCACACTGAGCTGAACCCCTGAGTCACCACTGAGGCTGCTTGGAGCATGGATATTATGGGATGAGCCTCAGAAACTCGTTCAAATGTGTTCAATATTCACTCAGATGTGTAAATATTGTTCATATCCACTCCCTCAAAACTTAATTCCCTCAATCCATGGAAACACCAAAGGAGCCAAAGCAGTATTTGCTGGTTTGGGGTTCCAGAAGCAAAAATACACAGGAAATATTCCCAGAGCAAGTGCCAGGCCATTCTCTTCCATCTACAGGAAGAAAATATCTATGGGGTAAATACGTAAGGCCTTGAAAATTGAGAGAAATAACATTTCATAATTATTTTTCCTTAATTGTTTTTTAATTTACCCTCTGCTGGAGGAGAACTGAGGCCCCTGTCTCCCAGTCAGCACAAACTTTGCATTCCTTCATCTGCATTTGGGGCTTCCTGCAGAATGAGCCTCTTGATTACGACTCTGCCCTTCCCCTGCTCAGCTCCAGCTGCTGCCTTTCCAAAAACTGAGAGGCACAGCCGTTTGCTCCCTTATTTGTGCCGTTTGTTTTGCTCCTGTGAGTTCTCTCACTTCCCCTCCCAGCTCCCTGAATATCTCTGGAAGGAGAAGGGCCCAGCTGTGCCCTCAGGCAGCTGCAGGAGCCACAGCTGGGGCAGTGCCACCACCCTCTAAGGCAGCAAACAAGCCCCAAACCCCAGATTTTACAGTTCTTCCCTCCCACCTCCTGCTGAGAGGAATGAGAGCAGCACAATCTGCGAGGGGAGAAAGGAGGAGTGAGAAAGTCATGGAAAGGAGCTCTGTGGGGTGGTCTCGGTGACCCTGAGCCTGTGAAAGGATGGACCTCGTGTTCCTGCCTCCTTTTTTTCTCCTGCTCTGGAGCCACAGCCACGGCCAAGCCCAGGCAGGGAGCCACCCTTCCTGACCTGCAGATGGCTCTTCCACCAGGCAAGGCTGACACAGCTTCTGGCTGAAATAGGTTGGCGAAGAACAAGACAAAAATCCAGAATGAAGCTTTCTTCCTCCCCTCCTTATCCTTTCATCTCACCTTACCCTAACAAATTTGGAGTTCTGTGCGAGCATCTGGCCCACAAATAAATATGAAAATAGCAGAGCGCTGCTTGGTGGGGAGATTTATTTCTGGGGATGTTGGGTTTTGCCACGGAAAATTTACTGTTCTGTGGAACTCCCTGCTCAGAGAAGATTCAGCTCCAGCAAGGAAGTTTTGCACATCAAACAGCATCACTCAAGGGGCTCTTTTGCATGGCCAACCTCACTAACTTATGATTCACTCTGAAAATGGTGCTCCTGTGGTGGTGTCACCATTTCCCTCCCTTGGCCTCCAAGAGCACAACAAAAGCTCCCAACCTTCCATAAAAACAAAAAGTCCAGCCTGGTCTCCCATGTATCACCTTTGCTCTTGTGCACAACCCTCCTTTTGCTCTTCCAGTGTCATTTTCCCCTCAAAACCACAGTTGTTTTCTTCCAGCATCCATCCCTTGTGGATGTTTCTGTACCAGAGGTCCCCCTTTTTCCCAGTGCTGTTCCAAGGCTCTGCAGCAATGGCTGGTTTTTAATCAGCCTGGAAGTCACTTGGGGTCTCTTCCTGCCTAGCCCAGATTTACTTTAGGATTTTCAGTTTTGATGAAAGCACAAGTGGGAAAGAGCAAAGCTTCTTCTCCCTCTGTAATTAATCACAGGTTAAAGTGCTGTATGAATTAGAAAGGCCTCAGGAGAGGCATCACTTGCTGAATTTCCAGCAAAGCACACAACTGAAGACATCCTTTGCTTTGTGTGTTTGGTTAATAGAAGAATTAGTCACTGAGCTGGAGATTTTTTAATTCTTTTTTGTTTTTTTTCAAAGCTTGCTCATCTGTGGCAGATGATTTTCTAACATGAGCTCTGCCTTTGTAGCCTGTAGAAAATCTGGTATTTTGTGAGTTTATGCCTCATGGCAACTTGGGAAGCTACAGCAGAAAACTCAGATATCATGTTATTTCTCAAACCAAACACTCAGAGGGTTTTTTTTGACAGGGAGGTGGGTGGGACAGTCACTCAGCACATTAATTTCCAGGGAAGCAGATGGGTAAGGGGAGAAACACAGCCTGTCTTGCAAATTTATCAACAAACATCACCACAGCTTTTAACATCCTTCCCTGCTCTGACTCCAGACTCACCGGCAGCAAGACGTGTCCCTTTAGGGAATTAAAGGTGGAAAACTGAATTCCCAGCAGCTCTGTGGAAAAACACACCATCTACCCTACCTTCTTAAAAAATGCCTGTGAGCCAGAACTGATGGGAAGACTCCAACCTGCCAGTTTGTTCTCTGATGTGTTCAAAACCATTTCAGAATACCTGGCTGCTGAAAGAAAATTAATCTGATTGTATGGCTGCAGGTTCAAAGATGCAAATTAAAAATTTCCAAGAATCCAAACATTTCCCAAAACTGTTCAGGGAGAGAAAAAGCTCTCCTATGATTTATGCATTATACTTTTCTTACCAGTACACAATAATTGTTGTCCTTTCTTTCCTCTTTCTTATCTCCAACAGCCCTTTTTTTTTTTCTTTAATTAGACTTTCTTTTTAAATTGCTTTAAAACACAGAGAAGGTACAAACACTGGCAATAATACTTGAATGGACTTTCAAGCAGCATGAAATGCAGAAATCTGAATTACTTCATCTTTCAATTGCCTGTAACAAAATGCTACTTTTTCCACAGATTGGTTAATGTGTGGTTAACTAAAGGAATTCAAGAGATCATCTTAATTCAGCAATACCAGGTCAGGTCCCAGGGCTTTAAGGTTGCTTAATGAGGTTAAATAAAAGGGAATGTTAAACAGCTCTGACTACATCTGAAATTTCCAAGTAGCTCCAGACATACTTAATGGAAAAACTTGGGCCCCAGTGAATGCCAATAAATCTATTTTCTTTTCAAGAAAAAAAAATTAAGGAACATTAAAAGGACATCAATCACACTTTTCTTAACAGGGTGCTAGAGAGACACAATTAAAGATGCCCCATTGCACTGTAGCACAGCTTAAATCAAGAGTCTGAGCCAGTATCTAAGGATGTTATTAAAGTTATTTCTTCGTTGCATTATTAAAATCTAAGATTAGAAAGAAGTTCTTTAGCTTTACATTAGTGAGAGGATCTTCCTGACACTTTCTTCAGCTTTGGGAAAAGAAAAAAACAAACCCAAACATTGCCCCAGTAGTTCCCTTTAGTTCCCCTTAGGGTGTGTGGGTATCCCAGGTATCCAGTGTATCCCACATACTTACCAGAGAAAACACAAATAAATGGAATTCTTAAATTCTTAAAAGTGTGTTTTATCTCTAGAAGATGTCCAGCCACATAAGAAGAGCCAAATATCCCAGCAAGTGAAATCACCATTTGTCTTCTGGAATACTAGTTTTCTTCTTGAAGTAGTTTTCCACCACCAAGTCTGTAAAACTTTCTCTAATCATGTTTTTATTTGGGTTTTTTTTTAGGAGCTGCTCTTTCCCACCTGCATCCATTTTAATGTGCCCTCAATATCAGTTATTTTTACCTCAGCAAATAACCAGGATGAACAATAACCCTCCCTTTCACAAACAAAAAAAAAAAACCATGATATTGCTAGTGGAGGAACACAGAGAAAATTGCCAGAGAAATAAAACCCCAGCAAGTGTTTTCATTTGTCAAATTCCCTCAACAAGAAGGTCCTGAGCGAAGAAAATACAACCCATAAAGGCAGCATCAATTATCTCAGAGAGGAGGCTGCATTTGTCCCTAATTTTTGCATATTGGAAAATGATGATTGCACACGTTCCATCAGCAGGGAAGCTGTGAATCCATACAAATAGCAAGAATCCCCAGCTCCTGCTGGGCACTGAGGATATCCAGGAAGTCCTTCAACCTCTGAGCTGGAACAAGAGTCTGAATTGATCTGGTGTTTCTGGAAGACAAAGGAGGTGAATCCTTCCTTGTGAAGGTGTGTCCTCCATCACCTCGTGTCCCCCAGTCAGTTCAGGCTCTGAAAAATGCACTTTTCTTCATCCCAGCCCTGAGTTCTCCAGTGCAAACTGGTGCTGGTTCAGCCTGCTTCAGACTCTTTCCTTCCCCTAAAACGAGCAAAGCAGCCAGACCTGGGAAATAAAGAAGAAATTGGGAGTAAAATGTATATTTTCAATCCCAGGTATCTCTAATTAGCTGCTTAAGGCCACACTCCTGAGCTCACATCCAGGAAAAATAATTAGTAGGATGGCCAAATCCGTAATTAAAAGTCACGCACAGAGTATGTGCAACTGGACAGCTTAAAATACTCCTGCTCTACCACACAGAGTCGTGCAGAGAATGGGATTGATTTGGAATTCTCCAGTTCCAATCAACAACCAACAAAAAAATACATTAAATGAAGGAAAGAGGGAAGGAAACTGTGGGCACTGAAAAGAAGAGAACAGGAAAAGATGAGACTAAGAGTGGAAATCACAAGAATTAGGCCCTTGTTTATTTATATAAATTCATGGAAATTGATGAGAAAAGCCCAAACCCTGAACCAAACCAAGCAAAATATAAACCAGCTAACAAAAACAAACAAACAAACAAACCCAACCAAACAAAAATCCACTCAAAACATAATCATATAAACCAAAATTAAATTAAAATAAACATAACTATTAATAATAAAAAATAAGCCCTAAGCAGAAAGAAGGATGGAAATAATAAACATGTAGATGGAGATCTACCAAAAAAAATCTTGTTCTGTGTGCCCAGAGCTGCCCATTCTGTGACACCAACACTGCCATTAAAGGTTCCTCGGGATTTATAGCCCACGTCCTTAAGGTTGGATTAATTGTACATGGGAGCTTTGCAACCCAGAAGCTGCCAATGAAAGGTATTTTAAAAATCCACTT